TGCCCGCTGTTGCTGTTCAGCATCGCGTGCGCCAGCTCGTTTCGAGTGGCCCCCGTTCCACAGACCTGGTTCGGCGCCTCGGTGAGCCGGCCCCTGAAACGGAAATTGCCAATGTAGAACTCGGCTCCCCCCAGCTGGCGTGCCGCCGCGAGCTGCGCGCGCAGCGCCCCCCTTCGCGCTTCGCGCCCGTCCGCCCAGGGCGCGCTCGGACGACTGCTGCAAGCAACCTCGCCAACTCCCCCCTCGATGACATGGCGGCGATCTTCAGCGCGTTCTTCGCCGCGCGAAAACCGAGGTCGCCATCCGAATGCGATCGGCGAACTCCGTCTGCGGGGCCGCGGCGGGCGGCCGGCGCCTAGCCGCCGCAGAACTCAGGCTCGCGGCGGCGGGGCGCGTCTGGAACGCTGAACTTGCCCACCGCAGCGCGCGAGATCAAACCCGCGGCCCCGCGCGGCGCGTCGACGCCGGGGCCTCCGCCGCGAATGCTGGGCGCAGGGGGCCCAGAGAGGCGCCCCCATCATCCGGGGAGATGCCGGCGAACTCCTGCAACATCTCCCCCCGACGACGTCGCTCGCCGCGCGCCGGGCGAAGCCGCGAAACTCGGCGAGGATGGCGGCCGCGACGGCGTCGCGGAATGCCTCTGGCCGCGGGGCATTGGTCGGGCGCGGGCGGAGCGGCTCGCCGTGGAACCCCAACGCGCCGAACGCGATGCGGCGGTGGAAGCGCGTCTGCCAATGCGCCCAGAGCGCCGGCTTGTGCGAGGCGTCTACGGAGATGGACCTCAGGCCGCAAGGTCTGGGCGCTCCTTCAAATGAAGCGCCGAAGTCGCGAATGGCGTCGGACTCGGCAATGTCGGGGGCCGCCGCGGCCGCGGTGCCGGCGCGCCTCCTGGCGAGGCCCCCCGGCCCGGCTTCCGTCCCGCGCCCGGCGCGTCCGGGGCATGCGCGGCGCGCGACTGTGCGCGCCGCGGGCCTCGAAAAAGAAGAAGCGAGCGGAGGCGTTGCCGAACCCCGGCGCGCGGTTGCGGTTGCCGAACGTCTGGGCTCGTGCCCATGTCTCTGTCAGCACGGGCGCCAAGTCGCCGCCCCGTCAACTGCCGCGTCGCCGTGCGCGTGGATTCGTCGCAGCCCAGCGTCGCAGCGAAGCCAGTCCACTTTGTGAAAAGATCCTGCGCGCGGGACTAGCAATAGCCGGGCGCTCTGTCATCGATCGCGTCGTTGTCGCGCAGAGCCCGCGCCGCGGCCGCGAAAAATGCGCGCTTCCTCACGGCGATTTGCGAGCGCAGGCGAACTCGCCGCCCGCGCGGCCCTTCGCGCGCGCCCGGGCCAGGCGGCGGCCGCTGGAGCGCCGGCCGCGCTCGAGAGGCGCGTCTTCTTCTCGAGCGCGCCCAGGCGCGCCGGCGCTTCCCTCCTCGCGCGCGCCGCGATAGATGCGCGCGCCGCCGCTTCCTCGCCGCCAGCCCGCGCGCGCGCTGCGGCGGCCGGCCGCCGCGTCTCGGAAGGCGCCGCTGGCTTCTTCGGCGCGGGCCCCTTCGACACCCCGGCCGGCGCCGCGGGGCGCCGCGCGTCGCGCTGCGCCCCAGTGGCCATGGCGCGCGGCGCCGGGCAACCGCGGCAACGGTCGCCCGAACTCCCCCGGAGCTACGGCGCCACAGGGGCGGCGACGGCGCCCCGTCGACTGGGGGGGCGAAGACGCGCTGATGGCGCGGCCCCCCCGGCCCCTCCCGGCGCGCGTTCTGACTGGGAATCCGACGCGAATCCGCCCGCGGCGACCAAGTTGCTCGGAGCGAGCAACAGTGGCGTTGGCATCTTTTCCCTCACTGATCAAACATCGCACCTCGCTCGAATGGCGCGCTCTGAATTCCCGCCGCGCCAGGCCCCGCTGTTGTCGCGGAGGCGGCCCTTCATTCCCAATGTGCATCCGTCCTTCTAACTGCCATTCAACCCCTGAGTCTGGCACTCTCTTTCCCGCCCGCCCGCCCACGCGCCTCGCCTGCCCGCGGCCGGGCCCCCGCTAGCTGCCGCCGCCGAACTCGCGCTAGCGCGAGCGCCGCCGTGCGCTCAGCCAGCTCCTCCAGATCGTCGTCGTCGTCGCTTTCGCCCGCCAGCGCGACGCCCGCCTCCCGGAGGTGCGCCATCGACGCCCGGCCAAAACACGCTTGCCCCCGTCTTCCGCCACCTTCGCCCTCAGCGTCCACGAGTCCTCGACGATGCGCGCCATTGCTGCGCGCTGCGCCCGCGCCTTGACCTCCGCGCGGACCTGGTCGTGGCGGGCGGGAGGGTGCGTGTAGAAGCCGCGTTCGTTGACCATTTTGTCGCGCATCCAATGCCCAATGTGGCGCGGCAGCACCAGGTGGCGCGCGCGCCAAACGCGCGCGTTTTAACAACTGTTTCCGTATTCGTATGTATATACACGTACATGCGCTCACGCGCGTTTTGTGTAATGTATATATATACACATGCATATATATGTGTATGTATACATATATAAACCGTCATATGCATATGTATAAATATGTATGGTCTGCACATACACACGGACATACATACATGCACACATTTGCATACATATATTTATATATATACATACATACATACATACATACATACTGCTATGCCCACGCAGCCGCGTAACGGGGTATTCCAAAGACCTTTGGAGCTCCCTGGACCACCTGAGCTTCCAAGACATCGGCCGACCGCGTCGCTATGCCCAAGGAGGTCCAGTTTGGCTCAGGTTTCCTGGCAGGGCTCACGGCTGAGCATGTAGGGATCTCGGCGGGACATTCGCGCGGATGACAGGGACGAGGGCCCCTGGGCAACCCGCAACAGAACACAAAGCTGGACGTCGCTCACTTGCGGTACGTGCCTGGGTGCTCGGCACGGCCAGCCTTCAAGTAATGAGCAGCTTTGGAACGATACTGCCCTGGGCAAATCCTGGCGCGACGCTCGGCATCGATGGCGGCGGTGGCCCCAGAGCTTAAATATTTTTCATTGATCTATATTTACACAATTTTTCCTATTTCATATCTTTACACAGCTACAGATTCTTGAAATCTGCCAATTTCAATTGCCAGCGGTCGAAGGATCCGCAGCCCAAGCGGCAAGGAACCCATAAACCACCAGACCACCAGACATCTACTTAGTTTTTGAACAATAAAACATCACACATCCTTTGAATTCTTAAGCTGTTTAAACTTTTGCAGGGATTGAGTTCCTAAGCGCCCGATCCCAGGGGGCCAAAGGTCCCTGGAATCTCCCGGGGGCCCCGCGATGCCACTGAACCCCCCAAATCTGGGGCCACGCACCAGAACACTTCTTATCAAGAAACGCGCCCTTGCGCGTTTTAGCCGCCGCGGGGGGGGCATATGAGGCCCCGGGAGGCTCGAGGGCCGTCGAGGCCAAGGCCTGCAGTGCTTGCCACGTCCAGAGAGGCCCCCGAAGGTGGGGGGTGAGGCGGAGGAGCGAGGAGGAGGAGGAGGAGGAGGAGGAGGAGGAGGAGGAGGAGGAGGAGGAGGAGGAGGAGGAGGAGGAGGAGGAGAAGGAGGAAGGAGAAGGAGGGTCGCTCAAGCCCCTTAGATGGTATCCCTCCTGGTCGACCGTTCCCCTCCCCCCTCCCTCCATGCTTCCTGCTCCCTGCTTCCGCATCTGTGCCCCTGCCCCCTCTGCTCCCCTGCTCTGACTACCTGCCAGACCACCCCAACCCAACCCGAAGACCCGAATTTCGGGCTGGGGGGGGTACGGGCTCCGCGCGTGTTTTCTCTATGTTTCCCGCCGCTCCCCCCCCCCCCTACTAGAAATCGAGGGTAAATCTGAGCCCTCGGGTTGGGTTGGGGTGGTTTGGTGGGTGGTGATGCTCCCCCTTCCCTTCCTCCTCCTCTCCTCCTCCTCCTCTCCTCCTTCCTCCTCCTCCTCCTTCTCCTCCTCCCTCCGCCTCCTCCTCCTCCTCCTTCTCCTCCTCCTCCTTCTCCTCCTCCTCGTCCTCCTCCTCCTCCTCCCCCTCCTTCCCTTCCTCCTCCTCTCCTCCTCTTCCCCCTCGCCGCCCCGCTCGGGGGCCGCCACGCCTCGGGCAGGAGGCGGGCGGCGCCGCCGAGCCCCAACGGGGGGCCCTCTTGCTGCTGCTCCTCCTCGCTCCCTCCTCGCTCCCTCCTCGCTTCCTCCTCGCGTCCTCCTCGTCTCCTCTCGCTGCTGCTCCTCCTCCTCGTGTCCTCCTCGCTTCCTCCTCCTCGCTTCCTCTTGCTGCTGCTGCTGCTGCTCCTCCTCGTTTCCTCCTCCTGCCTCGCCCCATCAACCTGCCCATGGCCCTCCGCCTGGAACGCCCGACGTGGGTTCGGGCAACACACAGGCACGATGCCGAACAGCGAATGTCGTCCAAAACCGGCAGCGGCCGCTGGTGCGCAGGCGGCCGTGTGTTCCAGATGGGCGCCGTCCGCGGCGACACCGACAGCGAGTCCCGCTCGAAAGGAACAAGAACTGCTGTCGGTAACTGTGCCCTTTCTTTCCGTACCCATGTTTACCGTCCCGATCTAGAAGAAGAAAAAGACTAAGAAAAAGAAGAAGAATAATAATACTAAGAAGAAGAAGAATAAGAAGAATAAGAAGAAGAAGAAGAAGAAGAAGGAGACGAAGAAGAAACACACGCATAAACATAAATTTTGGCGCTCCGCGCGGAGCGCCAAAAGGTTATGTTTGTGTGGTTCGTTCTTCTTCGATGACCATCGTTCCTTTTCCTCACTCCTCCTCCACACCACGCGCAACGACACGGGCAGAGAGAGTGAACGCGGACGTCTGGAGCCCATACGCCGACACGACACGCCAGACCATCGGGGCGCGAACGGCATGGGCCCCCCTCGGGAACCTCGGCCGCCGTCCGACCTCCCTGTGCCGGATCCAGGGTCTGCAGCGCGGTGCCGGGGAGGAGGGAGGGGGGGGGAGGGAGGGAGTGAAGGAGAAGCAACAGCAACGACGACGATGAAGAGGAGGGCGAGGGAGAGGACGATGAGGGGGGAGGGGAGAGGAGGGAGGGAAGGAGAAGCAGCAGCAACGACGACGACGACGAAGAGGAGGGCAAGGGAGAGGACGAGGAGGGGGAAGGGACAATATCTCCAGCGAGGCACACGCGCAACGCACGCGCGCGCGCCAAGCGCTCCAGGCAGGCGGCTGGGAGGAGGGTGATCCCGTCGGTGTGCGCAGTGCGCAGAAACGGGATCACTGCACTGTGCAGGGGCTTCTCTTGATGGGCCGATTTTCCACCAACACTACAACATGTAGGAGAGGGAGGAGGACGAGGAGGAGGAGGAGGAGGAACTATAAAGAAAAGAAGGAGGAGGAGAAGGAGGACGAGGAGGATCTTCACGTCCTCCCTTCTCCTCCATCCTACCTGTGGTAATGGTGATGAACATTTGCCCATCATCTCTGCTTGTTCTCGGCGAAGGTGTGCGTGAAGAGCTTCACTTGCTCGTACAGTGGGCTCACCAACGGGATCCGCCCGAAAACTGGGCGCACGAAGCGGTCGATCTTCCGGAAGGAGGTCTGGGTCCAGGGGCTCATGGCGTACCGGATCGCCAGAGCGTTCCATATCCACAGGAGGGCGAAGAGCGAGGCTTGCCGCCCGACGCACATCCAGATTAACCAGAAGCCGCTCAAGACCTCGACGTCTGCCCGTAGCTGCAGGAGTGCGTGTCTCACGCGGGCGATTGCCAGTGGGCGGAGGAGCTTCGCCAAAGGATTGCCTGGCAGTGCTGGGCTGATCTGCGTCAGACTCAGGAGGACCGTGATGGCACTGCTGAACAGCAGGAGAGCGTGCACTCTCCGCGGCCGTGGTCGATTGAACAGCTGAGGGACCAGGGGGGTCCAGAGAGCAATCGCGCAAACCCTCAGCGCCACCCTGATAGGTGCTCGGTAGGCCCAGGCTCGGAGAGTGCGAGACAGACGGGGCTTTCCTACGCAGCCCCGCGAATGCCCAGTACTAGTACCTCTCTGCTGCCACCGTGCCGCAAGGCACGGAGTGGGTGTGTCCTCAGGTCTTCAAGACCTGTGGATTGGGCCCAAGACCTGAGGTCTTCGAGGTTTGGTCTTCAAGTCCTCAGGTCTTCGAGGATTGGGCCCAAGACCTGAGGTCTTGGGCCCAATCCTCGAAGCCTCAATCCTCACTCCTGAGGAATCTTCAAGGGGCCCATGCCCCAAATTGCCAAATGTACGAGGGCTCGGCACGTCTCGCTGGGGGCCTGTCGCGTCTTCTCGCGTGACTTTTTCGGGTTCAAGAGGGCCCCAGGATGAGTCCAGAGGGCCCCAAGACGCTCCCAAGACGGCCCGAGAGGGCCCCAAATCGCAAAACGATCGGTCCAAGACGCCCAAGATGACCATAAGACGGCCTCCAAGACGCCCAAAGAGGCCTCGAAGCGGCCTCCGAAGGGGGGCCCCAAGAAGCAACCATCATTGATGTTCCGTAGGTGCTTGACTGATTGTGGCGTTCTCGCCTTTTCGTCTTCCCGACGGCCCACAACGGCCTACGAGGCCCCCAAGATCGACCCAAGACGGCCCCAGAGGCCCCCAAAAGGACCCCAAGGCGGCCCAAGAGGGCCCCAGGACGGCCCAAGAAGCGCCCAAGACGGCCCAAGAGCCCCCAAATACAGCCCCAAGAGTGGGCCCAGATGGGGAACCCGAACGGACATTTCGAGCCCGGGGCCCCCAGGAGGCCCCAAGAGGTTCCCAAGAGGCCCCAAAGAGGTTCCAAGAGGCCCCAAGAGGCCCTCAAGAGGCTCCCAAGAGGCTCCCAAACTGCTCCCAAGAGGCTCCCGAGAGCGCCCCAAAGAGACCCGAAGAAGCATCCCTGAGAACTCTGACCCACAACCCAAGCACGGTGGCAGGATGGGCTGAAGGCCATTGGATCTACAAGTGGCACGTGCATGCCCAGGGTCATACAATCACATGTGCAGGATGTGTGCGCTATGTGTGCGTTACGGGCCACGTGTGTTCTGCGAGTTGTGCGTGTTAGGCGTGCATGTGTGTGTGTTGTGTGTGTGTGTGTGTTGCGTGTGTGTGTGTGTGTGTGTGTGCTGTGTGTGTGTGTTGAGTGTGTGTGTGTGTGTGTGTGTGTGTTGTGTTGTGTGTTGTGTGTGTTGTGTGTGTGTTGTGTGTGTGTGTGTGTGTGCGTTGCCTCCAGGAAGCTCCCAGGAGGCCCAAAGAGTGCCCCAAGAGGCTCCCCTGAGGCCTCCTCCTCCTTTTTCCTTCCTTTCCTCCTCTTCTCCTTTCTCCCCCTCGTGTTCCCCCAGGGGGTTCTACAACGGCTGGGCGAACACATCGCCGTGCCCATCGCCCCATAGTTTGGCCGAGCTTTGGCCGCACAGCTCGGCTGTGCAGGCGCTTCCCAAACAGGGCAGGGGGCGGCGGTGACTCGCCCGGGGCGTCTTCGATGTAGCAGTATGCGTATGCACCGTTCCTGCAGGACATGGGCGTGGTTTGACGGCGCGCGCAGGGGGGTACGAGGAGGGGGGCGAGGCTTCTTAGAAGGGGGCTGCCTCTTATAAAGCGCTGGCCTTACATCCATCGATGAGGCCCGCGTCTGCTAAGAACCAGGGGTATTCTCCCCCTGTGTAATGTCTGGTTCCCCTCTGACCTTGTTGTCGAGATGCATCGCGTTCTCGACGCGATGCGAAGCCATGCCGTGCTACACCATGCATCGCGTACTCGGCATCATTGCCCTGTTCTGCATCCGGCTGTGCGAATAGAGACGAGATCTACGCGGTGGTAGAGCATGGGGGTGAGGGGTAGGACGTCAGATATGACGCTTGCGCCCCTAGCTTGTCCCCCCCCCTGCGCGTGGCCGATTGTTAGAATGCCAAATGCTGCTCTGTAAATTGTCGTACTCTGAACGACCGTGCACGGCGACAACAAAACCGAAGACCGACCGAGCCGACAACGACACCGACGCCAACCGAAAGTGACGGGCCGGAAGCAGCCTACGAGGGCGTGCAACGACGCGGCAACGACACAACAACCGACCGAACCCAGCGCTGAACCCAAACTTGTTCTGTTTTCGTTTTCCATCGCTTTTGTCTCGAATCCGCCTTTACCGCAAAACGAAGTCGAAACGAACATGGCCCACGAAATCGCCAAAAGCACCGTTTAGGTCCAACCCTGACCGAACCGAACCGACCGAACGCAACCGAATCCGACGCAACCGAGCCGACCGAACCGTGAACCCACTTGCTGAAAGAGGGACAGCCCCCTCTACAGTGGAGGCCAGTCCACAAGAAACCTTCCACAAGAAACCCAACCCTGAGACCCCAGGGCGTCCATGGACTCTTGGTGTGGGAACGTCACGCCTTCCATAGCAAAACCATCGAAACCCAAGAAATCCAGGGCACCCTCGAGGCAAGCAGGGGGCTTCTTGGCATGGGCGCGCCCGGGGCCGCGACCCCTCTCGGAAGCAAGCGGCGCCGCCGCGCCCCGAGCTTCCGAGGCGGCCCATGCAGACGGCCAAGGCCACCAAGATGGCCCGAGAGGCCTCGAAGACGGACCAAGGCGGCCCCAGTGGGGCGTTGGCAGGACTCGGTTCAGTGGGACCTCGTTTCGTGATGTGTGCTTGTTTGGAGTCCCGAAACGGTGCGGTGACAGACCGTGCGGTGACCTCGGAACCCCAAGAGACCTCACCGCACGGTCCGTCACCGCACGGTCTTGGGACCCTGGAAGCCGCTGTCGCCCGAGACGTCCTCGAAGAGGGCCTCGAGTCCCAAAACCGTGCGGTGACCCCGAATCCCCACCGACTCACCGCACGACGGGGTGGGGCCCTCGAGCTTGGGGGCGCCTCCCCCGCCCCATTCCACGAACCGGAACTGCCGTCACTCGAAAAACACCTGCTACGGCAGGCAGACCTGGTTCAGTGATTCTGGCCAGGTCGGGGGGCTTCGGGGCCCAATCACAAACCGGTTCCCCTTTATCCAGGGTCCTTGCTATACCCGACCCAAGGCGGCCGAAGATGGCCTCAAGGCAGCCCGAGTGCCCCCAGGAAGGCCCCAAAGGGCCACAAGAGGACCGTGGACCCCCAACATGGCCAGAGAAACCTACATCATTGATTGCCCACTTGGTTTTTGAATGAAATTCGCATTCTAATCTTTCCGCACTTCCGTCAACACAAGCTGGCCCACGAAGCCTCCGCGATGGCCTTAAGACTACCCAGAGGCCCGCACGAGGGTCCAAAGATGCCCCAAGAGGACTCCACCAAGGCACACGATGCATCCAAGACGGCCGCAAGACAGCTCACCCGTGGGACCCAAGACTGCCTTACAACTCCCTTCGGCTGCCCAAGACAATGCCACGACTGCCCCACGACAGCCCCCAGGCAACCACCATACCGCCAAGAGGGTCCCAAGACGGCCCGAGAGAGCTTCGATACGGCCACAGGGGGCCCCCACCAAACGGCCCAAGAGGGTCCCAAGGGACCCCCAAGACTGGCTGAGGAGGCCAAGGCAACCACGAGATGAAATCAAATGTGTCACGTGTGGAGGCCTTCCTCGTCCTCGTCCTCCTCCTCCCCCTCCTCCTAAACCCTCCTCATCAACATCACAACTCTCCCGAGCCTGGAGACGCGACAATTCACACGTGACGGCCTCCTGTGCCCCCTCGAACTGTCATCGCCCATAATGCCGGGCTAGCACGGTGGCGGTACTTTCCAAAGGCGACTGTGTCTGTGGATATATATATATATATATATATATACATATACATATATGTATATAGATACACACATGTATACATCTATACATGCATACCAGGACTCTCGCAATAGCGGGGGGGTCAAACAAGTGTTTGACAGCCCGTCTGGAGCCCCCCAAAGCGGAGCAACCGTATCAAATTCCATACATAACCAGAGGAATCGTTTGAAGTTTCGATATGCGAAATGGTTCAACTTTGAGACCCCCCACAACCTTGTTTGACGAGGCCCGTGATACCCCCCAAAACTAGAGTCCCCCGTGAATATGAGATCCATGTTGCTTCTTTGCACGAGTGAGAAAAACGGGTCCTCGTGGAAACGGACCCTGGACCCCGAAGCTTCTTTCCACGGCTGACTTCTCATCCCAAGCCGTTTTCGGACGCCCGCGGTGGTGAAGGCGAGCCACGCGAACCCAAAAGCGGCGAAGAACCTCCAAGATGTGTTGTTTTGTAAGCCAGGCACTTTCCCGGAGCCGAAGACCATAGAGGCCTCCCAGAAAGGGTCCGAGTAGATGGTGACGGAGGATCGCGCCGCATCGCCGATACATCGCGGATACATCGCCGACGCATCGGCGATGCATCGGCGACGTCGGCGATGCATCGGCGCCATCGGCGTGGAACGCATCTGGCTCCATATCGGGCCGCTTCGACGATGCACAGGCGATGCGGCGCAATCCTTCGACCCCATCTGCTCCGACCCCATCTGGGAGGCCTAGACCCTAGACACCGCTCATCTGGTCAGATGCTCGTTCTGGGGACCTTCCTGGAGCCAATCGCTCCGCCCTCGCGTCGATGCTGCGTCGGACGCCCGTCGACTTGAATCAAACTTGAGTCGAACTTGACTCGAACTTTGGTCTAGCTGGAGTCGAGCTGGGGTCGAGCTAGATTCGAACCGCATTCGAACTGAGAGTCGCACAGATCCGTCAGCTGGGCCCCGAGAAGGTCCCCCAAACGAGCACCCAACCCTGGGATTGCGTGATGGGAGTGATGAGGGACGACGTCGCGCGACTGCGTGATGAGCGTGGGCCATAAGAGGCGTCATGGCGTGGTTGCGTGATGGGCGTGATGACGCCGACGACGACGACTATGGACGACGAACGTCCATCCTGGGACTGCGTGATGGGCTGGCCATAAGGAGGCAGATCCAGCCACTGGGCCCCCCTCCCCTGGTGAGGAGCAACGATAGGGGGGACTGGCACCGGGGGGGATGCATGGACCTGGAATCGGCGATGCGTCGCCGATAGATCGGCGATGGGCCTCCGATCGTGAATCCGCATATTCCTGGGAAGGCTGGGGCTATCGGGCCCCCATCGGCGATCAATGGGCGATGGGGGTCGATGCATCCCCCCCCCCGTGCCCATCCCCCCCCCATCGTTGCCCCTGACCTCGTGCGCGAAAGCGCGCCCGGGGGCGGCGCCCTCGAGCTTGGCGCCTCCTCGGCGCTGCCTTCTCGAGGGCTCTGGGCCCGCCCGCCTGCTCCTGCCACTGCCCTGCACTCTGATCGTGGGCTGTTTTTGTCCTCCTGGCGTTCTGGGCTCCGCCCCGTCTCTTCAGGGGGCCACATGCGAACCCTACCCCTACCCCCCACGATTTCTGAGGGGGAGGGTGGGGTTCACTTGGTTCGGGAGCTTCCGAACCAAGTGAACCCCACCCTCCCCCTTCAGAAATCGTGGGGGGTAGGGGTAGGGTTCGCATGTGGCCCCCTACTCTTCTCTCGCCTCTCTCGCCGAGCGCGTTCCACTACTCGCAAAATGAAAACTTGCCTTCCTCCTTGCAATGCATCGTAAATCCCCCGCGGCGGATCCAGGCCATTTGCGAGTAGCTACTTTGCGAGTAGTGGGACGCGCTTGTCGAGTCTTGTTCTTTCGCTTCGTGCCTGCACCAACTTCCAGTGCAACCCACCGCTCGCTTTTACGGGCGCCTGACCGTCTCGCGCACCCTGGCGCCCGCGGACACAAAAAACTGTCGTGTCCGTCGTTTTCGTAGTTTTTGCCATTCGGAACAATTTTCAGGCCCTGGGGCTGTCAGAAACGGACCCCGGCATGAACAACTACTCCCAGGGCGATTTTTCAGAGCAAGAGAGCCCAGAATCGAATCGAGAACTTGGATCGGCGATCGAAACGAATCGGATCGGCGGAACTGGGCAACCGAGTCGGGAGAAATCGATTCGGCGACCATCGGCGGGCCAGCAGGCCTCCGTTGAGAAGTCGGAACCCAAATCGGAATCCGAAATCAAATCGAATCGGAATCGGAATCCATCAAAATCGAATCGAATCGGATCGGAGGAACCGAACCGAGCCCTCTTTTTCCCTGGAGAAGCCCAGGAGCCCCCAAGGAGTCCAAAACCTGCCACGTCCTGATTGTTTCAGGACGGAGTCCCTGGAAGTCCTCACCCCCTTCCCTGGGACCAGTTTTTCGTCCTGAGCCGTTTCTTGATGGTCCCGAGGCCCGGCGAGGGCCCCCTGGGGCCGAAAAAATAGCCAAAACCCCCCCGTCCGGATTTTTTCTCACGACGCGGTCAGGTCTGGGGTCTTTTTTCCTCTCTCCCTGGGGAAGCCCAGGAGGGCGCAAATGTGGACGCCCAGAATGGGTGCGGAAAAAATGGGTACGATCCCCAACATCAAATGTTGCCCCAAACCAACAGCGGCCGCTGGTGGGCAGGCAGCTCTTCTGTTTGAAAAGCACACAGGCCGCGGCGGCGCGGACAGCGAGCCCTGTTCAAAATGGACAGGCAATGCTGCTGGGCATTGTACTCCAGATTTCGTAATAAAGGGAGGGGGGTCTCATTTCGGGGGGGGGGTCTTTTCCAGGCTATCTTGCAGGGCCTGGGGGGGTCTGGGGACGATGTTTTGGAGGGTTCTCCCACGGGGGGGGGTCTGAAATGGCTTGTCTTGGAGGGTCCAGACCCCCTCCCTTTTATTACGAAATCTGGAGTACCCAGAGCAGAGGGGGCGCCTCCCTGGCCCTCCCAACGCCCGATCGGCCCGCGGCCCCTGCAGGCCCGGCGCGAGGGCGGCCAGGGCAAACAGTGGGACCGGGCCGACGTCCTCTCGCAGCAGCGTGCGCAGACCGCCGGCTGCGCGCTCGGGGGGGTGGGACGATGACGATGACGATGATGACCTTCATCGTCATCGTCATCGTCATCGTCATCATCATGATGATCAGCATCATCATCATCATCATCATCATCATCATCATCATCATCATCATCATCATCATCATCATCATCATCATCATCATCATCATCATCATCATCATCATCGTCATCATCATCATCATCATCATCATCATCATCATCATCATCATCATCATCATCGTCGTCGTCGTCGTCGTCGTCGTCGTCGTCGTCGTCGTCGTCGTCGTCGTCGACCCCTTCTCCGTTCGTCTCCCTCGCCCTCGCCTATGGGTCGTTGGGCTATTCTCGCGCGCCGCTTGGGCCGCGTGGCGTATCTGTACGCGCCTGGCCTCTCGCTTCGTTTGCCTGGCCGACAGGCGTCCGCCTCGATGGACGCCAAGCGCTTGCTCGGCTCACGCTGCGCCGCAGCTTTGCCGTTGTGGTGTGCAGTGCTCACAGAAGGGGCGACCATCTCCAGACGGAGGAGAGCAGAGGGCAGTGCTCGCAGAAGGGACGACCCCTCTGGGGACGGAGGAGAGCAGAGGCGGAGGCGCTGCGAGGCTGCGCTGGGAGGACCGCCCCCGCGAGCGGGCGGGGAGGCGGCCCAGGCTGGTGGCCCTGCCCCGTCGGCGAAATGCCACCGACATGAGCGACTGATGCTATTCCCCAATCGCTGCTTGCACTGAAGGGGTCCTAGCGGAAACTGAAAAATTTGGCGAACATTTCCCGCCGATGTTGGTAGCAAGCTGGGTTCCCGGGTTCCGGGTTCCCGGTTATTGGTTCCGGGCCGATTTCGGTGGGTTCTGGCTTCCCGGGCTCTCGGTCGATCTCCTCAGCGGAAACCATCCACTGATTGGGTTTTCTCTGGTGTAAGGTTGCTCCCATCGTACTTGGGGGCCAGGTCCCCAAAATAGTGTCTCGAGCATCCAGAACAAAACACATCTCGAAACTGTGTCGAAGGACTGGCGCCTTCCAGGGCCCGACCAGTGAAAAGCCTCCAGTGTTTCGGTATTGTCGGGGTGCTCGAAATCCTTTCTGGCGATTCAGGCTACAGCAGGTTGGAACATCATAAGATCGGGGCCCACCAAAGGGGGGAGACCCTGAGGGGGGGTGAGTTCGATCCGCTGGTGCATCGAATTTCCGAACAACGATGCCCGCCGCGCGCCCCAATTGTCGACGCTTCTGGGGTTCCGGCGGCGGCCAGGCCGGAGACCTCGCTTTGCATCGTTTACCTGCGGTTCGATGCGCCAACGGACCGAACTCACCCCCCCCGTGGCCCCCCCCCCCCCCGAGCCCCCGAACTCCGACGTCGCCGACGCGTCGGCGATGCATCGACGTTTCATCGCCGATGCATCGGCGATGCGGCGCAATCCTTCGACCCCATCTGCTCCGATCCCATCTGGGAGGCCCACAGATGGGGACAAGGGGCGGGCGGTCCTCTAAGGAGCCACGGCGCGTCTCAAAAAAGGTTGGAGGCGTCTGTGGAAACCCCTTCCGTCGCGCCCCCCCCCCCCCCCCCAAGCGCGCCGCCCAAATAATCTCGGCGGCACTGGATCCCGTGCCTGGCCAGCAGCTCCAGCGCGACGCTCGCGGACAGGATGACCAGGGCCAACCGCACGCTTACGAGCTGAAAGGCGGAGGAGACGACGTAGGCCAGGCTCCACAAATACGATAAAAAACAATTCACCTTCCAAATGTACTTTGTGTTAGCCCAGACGTCGTCGGACCTGGTGTTGGGACGAGCGGGACCGCCATCCCCTCCGCCGCTGCTGGTGCCTCTGCTCGGGGCCGTAACAGGCTCATAGTCAACATCGAACTCGGGGTCGATCGTTCTCTTGTACCACTTCTTCCTAAACTTCAGGAGCTGCCTGTAATTTGGCGGTGGGTAAATACCTGAAAGATACGCCTGCCATCGCTCGTCATTCCAATCAAATAGATTGAACTGAGAATACTGCTTGTCCATGGCCCTGGTGATTCCATTCTGCACGCATAACGACAAGCAAGAGGCACTATGGCATATCCATTGAACCAGCGTGGCGACGGAAACCGCTCGCTCTTCCAACAACAAGGACGCTGTCCGCCAATCAAGCTCAAGCGGTTCAGCCGGACGAGCAGCAGATCCAACGAGCTACGACATGTTCGTGTTGTGAAGGCGACGGCATTTGTTCCTGGCATCGCGTGGACCGCTCAGCCTTGATCGATCGCAGTTTTCTGGCTGCGCGGATCGTTCGCATCGCCCGACTCCTGGCCAGCGGAGATGGTCAACCCTGACCGAGCGCGTCCACGGATCGGGGCAGGTACTCCAGATTTCGTAATAAAAGGGAGGGGGTCTCATTTCGGGGGGGGTCTCTTCCAGGCTATCTTGGAGGGCCTGGGGGGGTCTGGGGACGATGTCTTGGAGGGTTCTCCCACGGGGGGGGGTCTGAAATGGCTTGTCTTGGAGGGTCCAGACCCCCTCCCTTCTATTACGAAATCTGGCGTACCCCCGAAAGATGAGGCCAATGCCGCCTCACTTGGCGACGGATCGCGTCGGTTGTGTGAGGAAGCGGGGCCCGCCATTTATCCGGGCACCTCAACGGTGGTCCTGGGTCCTTGGCTGTGGTCCTGGGTCGCACGGCCGCGGCCAACGCTCCCCCGCTTAAGACGAGCCAAGGCAAAGTCGAAACGGGGCAGCGATAGGTCGGGGATCTCCGAGATCCGTTAATTCCGGAGGATGTATCGGGCGCCGAACGCTCTGAGAGCGTTCCGGAACGTTTTGGAACGATGTTATCCCTGCTCGAGCTCCGCCCGAACCATCCCCCCCGACCAATTACCAGACAACCCCAACCTAACCCGAAAACGGGTCTGGGGGGGTACGGGTTCCGCATGTGTTTTTCCCAACCATCTTGTGGTGTTGGGTCCTCGTTTTGACAAGACGGTCACCGCGTTCTTCTCCTTCCTTCCTCCCTCCTCCCTCCTCCCCCTCCCCCCTCCTCCCTCCTCCCTGCGTCTCACCCACACAGTACAGCGCTCCTTGGCCCCATAGGGAGCTCCACCGAAGGTCCCAGTGAGAACGCCCGCATGCGTCATCCACCACACAGCACAGCTTTCTTCCCCGCGTTTCAGCCGCCCAATACATCGTGTTGTGGCCCCATGGGGGGCTCCACCGAATGTCCCGGTGGGACCGCCCGCATTCGTCAACCACCTCCCAGCACAGCCCTTCCTCCCTGCGTTTCACCCACTCACTACAGCGTTTCGTGGCCCCATCGGGAGCTCCACCGAAGGTCCAAGTGGGACCGCCCGCATGCGTCAACCACCACCCAGCACAGCCCTTCCTTCCTGCGTTTCACCCGCCCAGTACAGCGCTTCGTGGCTCCATAGGGAACTCCACCGAAAGTCCCAGTGAGACCGCCCGCATGCGTCAACCACCACCCAGCACAGCCCGTCCTCACTGCGTTGCACCCACCCAGTACAGCGTTTCGTGGCCCCATCGGGAGCTCCACCGAAGGTCCCAGTGGCACCGCCCGCATGCGTCAACCACCACCCAGCACAGCACTTCCTCCTTGCTTCACCCACCCAGTAAAACGCTTCGTGGCTCCATAGGGAAACTCACCGAAGATCCCACTGGGACCGCCCGCATGCGTCAACCACCACTCAGCACAGCCCTTCCTTCCTGCGCTTTGCCCCACCCAGTACAGCGTTTCGTGGCCCCATCGGGAGCTCCACCGATGGTCCCAGTGGGACCGCCCACATGCGTCAACCACCACCCAGCACAGCCCTTCCTCCCTGCGTTTTACCCACCCAGTACAACGTTTCGTGGCCCCATAGGGGGCTCCACCGAAGGTCCCAGTGAGACCGCCCACATGCGTCAACCACCACCCAGCACAGCCCTTCCTCCCTGCGTCGCACCCACCCAGTACAGCGCTTCGTGGCCCAATAGGGAGCTCCTCCGAAGGTCCCAAGGGGACCACCCGCATGCGTCAATCACCATCAAGCACAGCCCTTCCTCCCTGCGCTTCACGCACCCATTGCAGCGCTTCGTGGTCCCATCGGGAGCCCCACCGAAGGTCCCAGTGGGACCACCCAGTACAGCGTTTCGTGGCCCCATAGGGAACTCGTCCGATAGTCCCAACGGGACCGCCCGAAGGCGTCAGCCAACATCCAGTACAGCGTTTCGTGGCCCCATCGGGAGCTCCACAGAAAGACCCCAGTGGCACCGCCCGCACGCGTCGTCCACCACCCAATACTCCACTTCGCGGCCCCATTGATTGGGAGCTCCACCAAGTCCCAAGGGGCACCGCTCGCATGCGTCCCCCTCACCCGGTACAGCGTTTCGTGGCCCCGTAGGGAATTCCAGTGGTCCGCTCGCATGCGACCCCCCACCCAGTGCAGCGTTTCGTGGGCCTATAGGGAGCTCTACCGAAGGCCCCAGTGACACCGCCCGCATGCGCCCCCCCTCCCAGTACAGCCGTTCGTGGCCCCATGGGTGCCGCACCGAAGCCCCCACTGGCACCGCCCGCATACGTCGGCCACTACCCAGTACAGCGTTCCGTGGCCCCGTAGGGAGCTACACATAAAGACCCCAGTGGCACCGCCCGCGTGCGCCTCCCCCAACCAGTACAACGTTTCGTGGCCTCATCGGGAGCTCCAGCGAAGGGCACCGCCCGCATGAGCCCGCCACGTCCAGTACAGCGTCTCGTGGCCCATAGCGAGCCCCACCGAAGGCCCCAGTGGTAGCGCCCGCATGCGTCTCCCACACCCATTACGGCACGTCCCTCACGTGTTTCGTGGCCCTATAGGAAGCTCCACCGAAAGCTCCGAAAGCGGCTCGCACAATGCGTTATTCACTACTGCGCATGGTTGGGTCCTTCGCCAGGATAATTCCCAACCGTTCTGTGGTGTTGGGCCCTCGTTTTGATGAAACAGCGCCCGGCGTCTCCTCCTTTTCACTTATCCTTCCTCCTCCTCCCTCCTCCCATCCCTGCCTCTGCCCTCCGCACCCCTTTTCGGCACACCCCTCACACGTTTCGTGGCCCCATGTAGAGCTCCACCCGAGGCCCCAGTTGCAGCGCCCACATGCGGTTCCAACCACATTTCGGCGAACCCCTCACACGTTTCGTGGCCCACTGGGGAGCTCCACAGAAGGCTCCAGGGGCACCGCCCGCATGCGGTTCCACCCTCCATTTCGGTGCACATCTCAAACGTTTCGTGGCCCCATAGGGAGTTCCACCGAAGGCCCCATTTGCAACTCCCGCATGCGGTTCCACCCCATATCGGCACACCCCTCACACGCTTCGTGGCCACATAGAGAGCTCCACCGAAAGCCCCAGTTGCAGCGCCCGCATGCGGCTCCACCCCATATCGGCACACCCCTCACAAGTTTCGAGGACCCATATAAAGCTCCACCGAAAAACCCAGTTGCAGCGCCCGCATGCGGTTCCACCCTACACTTCGGTGCACCTCTCACACATTTCGTGGCTCCTGAGGTAGCTTGACCGAAGACCCCAGAGGCAGCAACCGCATGTAGTTCCACCTCCATGTCGGTGCATCCCTCACACGTTTCGTGGCCAGATAGGGAGCTCCACCGAAGGCCTCAGAGGCAGCGCCCGCATGCCGTTCCCCCCTGTTCGGTGCACCTCTCAAACGTTTTGTGGCCCCATAGGGAGCTCCTCCGAAGGCCCCAGCGGCAGCGCCTGCATGCGGTCCCACCATCCGTTTCGGCCCGCCCCTCACACGTTTCGTGGCCCCGTAGGGAGCCCCACCGAAGGCCCCGGTGGCAGCGCCCGCATGCGGCTGCACCCCCATATCGGCACACCCCTCACAAATTTCGAGGACCCATATAAAGCTCCACCGAAAGCCCCAGTGGCAGCGCCCGCATGCGGTTCCACCCTCCATTCTGGCGCCCCCCTCTCACATTTCGTGGCCCCATAGGTAGCTCCACCGAAGGCTCCAACATCAACGCCCGCATGCGGTTCAGCCTCCATTTCGGCACCCCGCCATCCGTTTCATGGCCCCATAAAGGGGCTCCACCGAAGGTCCCAATGGCAGCGCCCGCATGCAGTTCCACATTCCATTCTTGCGAACCCCTCACACGCGTCGTGGCGTGGCAGCGCCCACATGGCGGCCCCGCCACATTTCGGCACACCCTTGACGCGCTTCGTGGCCCCACAAAGGGACCCACCGACGGCGATACTCACAACGACGGTACCCACAACTGCACATGGTTGAGCCCTTCGCCAGGCTGATTTCAATCTTCCCCGACGCCGCCCTCCCAACTGGAAATGGAGGGCAAATCGAGGCCTTCGGGTTGGGTCGGGGTGGCTGAGGGGTGTGGCGACCTCCCTCTCTCCCCTCAAAAGGCCGCTCATGTCCTGGCGGGAGCGTCGGGAGGGGGGGGGTGATGATGATGATGCTGATGATGATGATGATGATGATGATGATGAGGAGGAGGAGGAGGAGGAGGAGGAAGAGGAGGAGGAGGGAGGTGGGAGGAGGTGGTGGATGAGGAGGAGGAGGAGGAGGAGGAGGAGGAGGAGGAGGAGGAGGGGAGGATGAGGAGAGGAGGAGGAGGAGGAGGAGGAGTAGTATGAAGTTGAGGAGATGGGGAGAGGAGGAGGAGGAGGAGGAAGAGAGGAGGAGGAGGAGGAGGAGGAGGAGGAGGAGGAGGAGGAGATGTGGAGGAGGAGGGGTAGAGGAGGAGGAGCAGGAGGAGGAGATATGGTGGAGGAGGAGGAGAGAGGAGGAGGAGGATGAGTGGAGGAGGAGGGAGGAGAGGAGGAGGAGGAGCAGCAGGAGGAGAGGAGGAGGAGGAGGAGGAGGAAGTTGAGGAGATGGTGGAGATGGTGGAGGAGATGAGTGGAGGAGGAGGAGGAGGAGGAGGAGGAGGAGGCGGAGGAGGGAGGAGAGGAAGGCGGAGGAGGAGGAGCAGGAGGAGGAGGAGGAGCAGGAGGAGGAGGAGGAGGAGGAGGAGGAGGAGGAGGAATATCCAGCCGCGGCGGGGCTAGGACAGCCCACCGGAGGCCCAGCCTTCCC